AGCAGGGTACGAAAGAAATGGCTCCCCAGGAAGCAATGCCAGCAACCCCCATCAGACAGCACTCCGATTTCCCATACCCCCTTGAGTGGAATGTACATTAAATAAATAATTAGGCCCTAACCGGTTTGGCTTAGTGGATAGAGAGTCGGCCTGCGGACTCAGGGGTCCCAGGTTCGATTCTGGTCAAGGGCATGTACCTAGGTTGTGGGCACATACCCAGTGGGGAGTGTACAGGAGGCAGCTGATTGATGTTTCTCTCTCATCAATGTTTCTAGCTTTCTATCCCTCTAACTTCCTCTCTGTGAAAAATCAATAAAATATATTTTTTAAAAAAAAGAAATATTTAGAGGGAAGGCAGGGCAGGAGGAAATTAACCAAAGAACATATGCATGTATGCATTACCTCTGGCACAAAAAATAGGGTGGTGAAGGCCTGGGGTGGGGCGGGAACTGGGTAGAGGGAAGTAATGGGGGTGGATTCATTGATTAGCTGTCTCCTGCACGCGCCCTACTGGGCATGTGCCCTTGACCAGATTCAAAGCTAGGACCCTTCAGTCCAGAGGTCGATGCTCTATCCACTGAGCCAAACCAGCTGGTTTTCTGGTGTGTTTTTTAAAAAATACATTTTTATTGCCTTCAGAGAGGAAGGGCAAGGGAGGGAGGGAGGGAGGGACCCAAACCAGCTAGGGTAAAATAATAATAATAATAATAATAATAATAAGATTTTATGTGTCTTGTTAGATTTCTGGAAGTCCCTAAAAAGTTCCTTCCTTACACATATCTAAATATACAAGCAGAAAATATCACACATCTCCATCCAGTGGCCAATGATGACCTCAAATTCGATACAGTCAAATGCATCATCTTCCTGGCCCAGTTTCACCCAGGCACAAAACCGAGTTATCCTGGACTCTTCCTCTTTCTTGTAGTTTGCATCCCAAAGTTGTCTCTTTCTGTCCAATCTGCCCTCTTTATTTCCCTGGCCCTCTCCTCTGCTCCATTCTGACAGCTCCTGCCCAATGTTAGTCCTCTTCCTCCCGCTCTTACTCCTCCTCTTCATGCACCATGCATTTGCTGTGAAAGCGTTCTTCCTAAGAAAACAGCCGTGGGCCCCGCTGGTGTGGTTCAGTGGTTGAGTGTCGACCTATGAACCAGGAGGTTATGGTTCGATTCTGAGCCAGGGCACATGCCCAGTGTGGGGCATGCAGGAGACAGCTGATCCATGATTCTCTCTCATCATGGATGTTTCTCTCTCTCCCTCTCCCTTCCTCTCTGAAATCAATGAAAATGTATTTTTGAAAAAACACAAGAACAACAGCAACAAAAACCCAACAGCTTTGGTCATTCAAGTTATTAGAAGCTTTTCATTGCAGACTGAATGAAGTGAAAAGTGTTCCAGGCCATGGTCTGTGGTTAGTTATAGGGATTAAGCTGGTCATAATATTAAATAAATTAGGAACAAAAGTTAAAGATTTGGGACTTTTGCTTGGAACTGATGGTGAACCACTGGAAATCTGTAGTCAGTGAACATCAAAAAAGGCCATGCTATCATTTCATTGTATTTCATTTTATTTTATTTTCCATGCTATCCTTTTAGATACTTCCTTAACTCAGACAAATCTCCCATATGGTAATCCAGTGACTGTGATAGCTCAGCAGGGAGAACACTGGATCAATTCTACTCATGAATATTCACCCAGGCCTAGTGGTCGGCAAACCGGCTTGCGAGCCACATGCAGCTCTTTGGCCCCTTAAGTGTGGCTCTTCCAGAAAATACCGACTTCTGCTCATGGGCCACGAAGTTTCAATTGCATTGTATGTGCGCGCCCACACGTGGTATTTTGTGGAAGAGCCACACTCGAGGGGCCAAAGAGCTGCATGTGGCTCACGAGCCGCGGTTTGCTGACCACTGGCTTAGTGGATAGAGTGTTCGCCAGCAGGGGTTCAATTCCGGGCAAGGGCACATACCTAGATGGGGATGGCGAATGTGGGGGGTCACCAATCGATATGTCTCTCTCACATGGATGTTTCTCTCGCTCTGGCTCTTCCCTTCCACTCTCTCTAAAAACCTGCGGGGAAATACTCTCAGGTGAGGATTCACACCAGCCCACTCGCCCTGCTCCAGCGGGCTGACCTGCTCTGGGTAAGAGCATCGCTTTTTCTCTCTAGGTGCCGCGTACACCTCAGCTCCAGACACTCTGCTTTCCGCTCAGAATTCACCCACAGGAAATTTTCACAAATCTTCACAGTCTTACTTGGGGCCTACCAAAGTTGACGAATACAACATTTCTTTTGCCCCACGTACAAACGAGGTGAATGAGGTACCATTTTAAGACCATCCTTTGTATAAAAGCATGTTGTTCGCAAAGGGACCATGCAGAGGGGAGCTGCCAGAGCTGGCTGCAGGCAGTTACCTCAGCTGGCAGGGCCGGCCTCGGGCGGGTGCTGGGGAACGGGCTTTCTCACATCCCTGCCTGACACAGCGCTTCCTCCTGGCGAGGGTGGCATTGGGGCGGTCTCGCCTCTGGAAAGAATGGCATTTTTGCTGAGCACCTGACTGCCTTCGGGAAAGTGGGAATTTGCTCTGCACGAAGGCAGGGGGTCTTCGATCAGAGCCCTGAGCGCTGAATTTCTCATGGATTACCCCGGAGCACTGACTCGGTTCGGCGTTTTTTGTTGCTGGAGAAGAGAACAGGTTCCAGCCAGGTCCTCCAGCAGGAGAGAGAACAAGAGGGCCACTGTGCGTGGAGTTCCCCAGACCCGCCCATGTCTTCCCCCTGACTGGTCCTACAGGGGGTCTTTTTGTAATAAATCTCAGATGTGAGTAAAACACATTCTGAGTCCCAGTGGCTTACCAGGTCACCAAGTGGGCGAGTGCTCTTGTGGCCCTCCTATGTGCTATTTCAAATTCTGTTTAAGTGACAGATGTGATCGAAACAGCACACAATGGCATGCATCTTAAAAACTGACATGTAAGGGATGTTCTCCAAATCTTAGATTTCCGCAGGGAAGTATGTAGATTTAGCTGATGCTCCAATCCTGGGGAACCCTCTGAGGATATCTGTTTGTTTTGTTGGTTGGTTACACAGAAGGACATAAACGCTTCTTGGAATAAAAGACAAAACAGGAGAGCGAGCTATGGCTACGACGCAGGTAAACACCAGCCCAGCCACTGGGTAAACACGCAGTCTTTTCACTCATCCTTTCCGCCAACACTTACTGGGCTCCAATTCGTGCCGGGTCTGAGGCTGAATGAAGAAAACCCAGGATTCTCACCCAGGGCTGTGCCCGTGAAGTGGGGGGGACAGGCCTGCCGAAAACGGCGCACAATACAGTAAGTGCGGTAAAGACAGTGCGTGTGCACACACATCAGGGCAAGTAGAGAAAGAGCCGGAGATTGAGACGGTGAGCAAGGCTTCCCGGGAGGCTAACGCAGGTGGAGTGAGACCTGAGACACATTACAGGAAGGCAGCGGGTCCTCCCGACAAAGGACGCGGCACAACCAGGACTTGGAGGCACAGAGACGGGGTCCACGGGGGAGTTATAAGCGTTTCTGTGTGTTTGGACCACAGTCTGTCCCTGAGAGGCCAGCCGAGGGGACACTGGCCAGGGAGGTCAGAACAGCAGAGTGCGGGCGCATGCTATGCCTCGCTAAAGGAGGGTTGGCGCTTCATGACAGTGAGTTTCCGCAGACTTTAAAACTAGGCCGGGACAGCAGAGAATAACACCCATTGCAGTTGTGTAAGTTGCTGGGAAAGGGTACCAACTATAATTCTCTTTTTCTGATAAACAGGACTGCAGGATCCTGACCCAGTCCCAAATACTTTCCCTCCACAATTTTTCAGAGACATGTGAGTATCTAAGGACATTCGTGTGTCATTGTAAATTACTGTTTTCATAATGACACAAGCTCCAGGCCACAGTGAACGGTGCTGTGCCACCGGGATGCAGTGAAGGTTCTGTCTTCGGGTCCCGCTCAGCACTAAGCTCAAATGCTGGAGTAGACAAGGGGGATGTTCTTCCTTCCCCATCCACCTCTCCTCTCCGTGGCCCCACACTCTCCCTGTGGGATTTTCAGGCAGCCGTGTGTTTTATGCAGTTTATACAGGTATGTTCTACTACTCCTCTGAGTAATAAAGCATGTGGGTCAGTACAGGAGAAGAAAGAGAAATGGGTGGGTCTTGGAGGTGGGTTGACAAAAGTAAAGTTTATTCTTCCTTTTGAGTTTCTGTAGAAAAGCTCTCAGCTATAACAGGGAGACACTGATCAGAAATGATCAGAAACTTTAGAAAAGTTTCCATAGATTTTTGGCCTTAAGTAATAATAACTCAATGATCCCCTTTCTCGACTTTACAGGCAACAGAATCACCTACAAAAAAAAGTACGTATCATAAAATCCATTGATAAAGTAGCACATTAATAATACTTCCTACTGCGTCATAATAGGAAAAGAGCTGTGAAGCAAATAATGAGTAAACCTCTATGGCTATCCGTCTCTCTCTTTGCCCTTATTTTCTTCTTTAATGTTTTCTTTTGGTTAATTCCTGGATTTTGTAGGTGTCCCGAGTTCTTACCAAAGGGGATGCTGGAAGGGGTCTCACGGGGACGAAAGGGGCAGGGGCATTAAGGGACCTGCCCATTCAAGGACATATCAGACACACACACCCACTCGCCCATGGGAAACCATTAGTGCAGACTTGACTGATAGGCTGGGATGCCTGGGCCTGTCCCTCGCCATTTTCATAGGAAGAGGGCTAGTCACCCATGAAAGTCACATAAAAAGGCACCTGGTCACCCATGAACTGAGACATGCAGCCGACAGATAGGAGGGTAGGTCTGTAAGTCACAACCAGGTAGGAGAGAACAAGGGGTTGGAGGACAACATGCTTTTACCACATGGACACCTGCTCCGTTCACAGTAAGTGGAGCAAATACAAAAGCTTTGATTCCAGGGAATATTTCGCAGTTTTAATATCAGAAAGGGATAGAATGCAACTGAAAACTAGAGTCTATTTTCCATAGTTCACCACATAGAAAACTTTAGGAATATATCTTTTTCGCATCTCAAGGTTGGAAACACTTCCTCCCACCTAGCCAAAGAATGACACTGCAGATCTGTGGCCTATTACCTCTGATTATAAGAAACACAATATACTCGTATATTGAATGTCTCAGTTTGTATGTGTTAGTGGATTAGGACAATTACTTCCTCTGTGAAAATTTAGATTTTATTCTTAATGTAGTTCATTTAGGATACAATTATATGAGACAAGTATCATGCAACATATGCTGTCATCCAACAGATGTTGTACAATCAGTGAAAAAGTATCTCTAGGAAATTAAAATGATTAGAGCAGGAAAAAAATGGCTGTCCCTGGGGTGCCTCCAAACACTCTCAAATGCATCAGGAGAGAGTATGCTATGTATGTGTTACCTTTTCGTTGAATGTTGGCCTGAAACATGGAGAATGCCATGCTCACGTCAGGCAATGTTGGGGATGTGAACAGCCTCATTACAAGAATCCTACTGTTCACCTTGTACCTATACAAAGCCTTGCATGCTTTGCTGCCAGTTCCTGTTTGCAGCCTTTATGTCTTAAAAGTAATAACAATTTAAAAACAGTCTACTAGTTTACGACAGGCAACAAATCGAGATTTTGCAAGCCCAAAGGAGATTCTCAGTAATCAGAGGTACGAAGAGTGTTCTGCTTCTACTCTTGGTCCTGACCTCTGAGGAAATGGCCATCCTTTGGTTTATATTTCCAGCTCAAAAGGAGAAGTTCTCCAACTCCCGACCCTAGCTCAGCCCTCCTGACTCTTACAGACCCAGTTCTAGCTCGGCCCTTGTTATCTATCTAAGCTAATGGTGCCTCCATTGCATCATCTTTTCTCAGCCTTCCTACCCAAGACACCCTGCACTGATACTCTCTTGTTGTGTACAAAGGCATTCAATCTCCACAAAGCATTAACTCTAGGTTTTCTACCAAATAACCCTTGACAACGAGCTGTGGTCACTCACAGATCACAGGCTCATCCCTGCATCAAGGAATGGGGCAGAGAGACAAAATATTTTCCATCCTCTCATGCTAGCTAGGCAGGTGCTTCGACAGGCACCCTCATGTTTTGACAACATCAGTTTTGAAAATACTTTGTTAGAAATAATCTGGTGTCTTTTTAGAAATCTGCTGGGTCATAGACACGATGCTCTTCTTGCTAAAATACTTGCATGTTAGAATTCTAGAGAGCAATTTGGTGACTTTTCTTTCTTTCTTCCTTTCTTTTTAATCAAAAAGTCATCTATCCCAGCAAAATAAAATGTTGGGGTCAGGGAGAGTTCAGCAGTAATGTGAATCAAATGGAAACAAATATAAAAGTATTTTTACGGTAGAACAGATGAAACCAACTAGAAATTAATCAGAAGGTCTCAACAGATTCTGTACCTATTCTCTTTATGACCACGATGACATGCAGCGATGCACGGCTTGTTATAAAAACAGGTAAACGCTACCCTCTCTCCCAGAAGAGAGAGAGTGGCCCCATGATTTTCCTTTCCTTCCTGCCTGCTCCCTCCCAGGTGACTTCTGACGAGCTGAACAGTATCCTCCAGAACGTAATGGCCTGGGTGGTGGCCACAGTGACCAGCATCCTGTACCCAGCCATCACCAGGTATGAGGAGAGGCTGCAAAGCCAGGTGTACGCCAGGGGCGCGGAGTCCACCCTGTCTTCAGAGAGCTCCAGCTTCTGCAGCACCTGCAGCGAGGGTTTCGCCTACGGCAGCTACACCACGGCCACCACCAAGACCTTCCCCGGGGAGCCCCGTGCCTTCGCCATGGACATCGCGGTCCGGCACCCGCCCACGCCGCTGAAGCCGCTCTCTGCCCACGTGGAGCGGACGGTGGTCGAGAAGACCTACCACACGGAAGGCCCCCCTTCCGCCCACATAGAGCGGACGGTGGTCGAGAAGACCTACCACACGGAAGGCCCGCCTTCTGCCCATGTGGAGAGAACGGTGGTCGAGAAGACCTACAGCACGGACGGCCCACCCGTGACCACGACCCTCACGTATAAGACAGCCACCGGGGTCTATGTCCGCCCCAAGCTCAGAAGCTGCAAGTCTGACAGCCACCTCCTGGCCTCTTTTCAGGGAGGCGCACGGAAGTCCAAGGACGCCACCACGGAGACGGACGGCCTGGAGGGCCCGCTGCTTCCCAAGCGAAAAGCCAGAGCTGAAATCAAGAACTTGGAGAAGATCTTTGTGAACTTTAAGTGCCACCTGAAAGGGGAAACGGAGCTGATTTTAGAGAGCGTCTTCCAGGAAATCATGTCCGACCTAACGCAGGCCGTTCCCGCCATTTCTTCCGTCACCGCCGAGGTTTTCGTTGAAGCGAGTGAGCCCGAACTGGGAGACGTCCTCTCCAACGTGGACATCAGCTCCGTGGCGTCCGAGATCGTGGAGAACATGCTCGAGACGCTCCAGTCCGCCGTCGAGAAAAAGTGCGTGGAGATGTTTTCGCAGGAAGATTGGCCGGTGGACATGACGCCCAGCTTCCTGCCCGTCGGAGAAGGCCCCCTCCCGCCGAGCGCGAGACCCCCGCCGGCCTCCCTGCCGCAGCCCGGGGAGCCCATGTGCGACATGGCCGAGGACATGGTGCAGGACATCCTGAAGAAGCTGATGGCTCTGGCGTCGGGTAAGCAGGACGAGCCTCCCCACCTGGCGTCCGTGACGAAGCCCCCCTCTCAGCAGCGCACGCCCGGCCCCGTGGGCACGTCCCTGCAGAGAGCCGACGCCAAGAGAGGGGGCCCCGAGCCCGACGGGGCCAGCTTCCTGGTTAAGGAGGAAATACAGAGTTTGATCTCCAGCATCTTTGCCCAGTCCTCGCTGGTGGGCTACATCGAGGAAGCCATCAGCACCATCCTCGGCTACGTCCAAACCGAACTGAACAACGAGCGGCTGGTGGCGTCTGAGGAAACGGTGGTCTTTCTCCGGCTGCTGGACGACATCTTCACGCAGCTGCACCAGGAGCCGGTCAAGGCTGAGGCGCCGAAGGGCAGACGCCCCCGGCCCAGACACCCGCCTGACACGGAGGAGAA